CGACGACCCAACTCAGACGGAGAGAGAGAGAGTGAGAGAGAAACTGGAGAGCACTCACTATCTATCTGACGCACACCTCTGCACACCACCACCAGCCAATAGTACAATAAACAAACACATGAAATCAGCGCCGCTACCGCTAATAGCTAGCGCGTTTAACAACAGAGCCCGATGAGAGCGCCGGCCAATTAAACGCGCGTCTGTGGGCAGCCCCAAATGACAATCTTGTTATTTCCTTCCCTCCGTCGGGTGCGTGGGGCGCAGGAAGTCATTACGAGAGCGCGGGCTCCGGGGACAGCTTTGGGAAATGAGAGCGAGTCGGGGAGCTACAAAAAACAAAGTATTGAGATAAACACCCGCCATTAGCGCAGGCAGTTAAAGCTCCATCTCCTAATCCTCAGCTGGACTCCAGAGGATGTTAACCCTTGCTATGCTGAGGTGCAGGACATTTGCACACTTGATTAAGTTGAGTCACCCTCGCACAAAAACTTTACACGAGTTAGGTGAAGTGCAGGCTGACTTCAGAAATTCCAGCGTTCTCAACTTGCTAACTACTTATTAACTTTGCCCAATACGGGCATCATCAAGCACACTTCGTCAGCAGTATCAATGTGGAAGTTGTAAACATCTACTCTGGAGGGAGTCTCTGGGTACTCGGTTTCCTTTAAAACAAATGAGCACCTCCCTGAAGAAGACAACTTTATAATTACCTTAATTCAGAATATACGGCTGAAAGTAACGATTGGGTTATTAATTGATTAATCTGTCAAATATTTTGTTGTTTAGCCGATGAATCGGACAAAAAAGGCATAATTTCCATCCCTTTATTCAATATGCAAATAAATTTGGATTCAATTTCGGATTTGGTTCCGAACACTCGTCGGTCAGAAAATCTGCAAAAATGTTGATTATTATTTTCCAAAGTGAAAACAGATGTTTTAAATGGCTGTCAATGTCTTATTTTGAAAACAAAATTAAATTAAAAAAACACACAAACATAATCAGTCTGCTTTAATGGAGGACTTCAGAAATTTGAGAGTATTTACTGTTGAGAGACTGAAATTCAGAGGATTTGGACTTTGGACTGGATTTAAGTTTAACAAGGTATATAAACAATCACTTATATTAAAAAAAAAAAAAAAAAAAACAACTAGCAATTCCAGGTAATTTGATAATCGATTTGTTGTTAATCGTTGCAACTCTAGTTCAGACATGCTCTTGTTCACACGCGAACATTTTCACACCCACTGTAAAAGGCAGCATTTTCTCAACTACTTCCAAAGTTTTTCTCGATCAGAGAGAGAGAAGACGACTATTGGGCAAAGCTGCGACGGCTATGAAAAGTTGACACCCGAAGCTTATCTCTCCCACTTTGTGTTGTTGAAAGCGACCGTTGCCCTCTGATAAGTACGCTGTGCTGCTGCGTGAAAGCACTTTCAGTTGCTCCACTCAATGACAGTTTTTTTCTTTTTTTTTTGCAGGATCTTTGTGTGAAAAGGCAATTGTTAACGGTGACCTCGCCACATGGGATGACTTAGTGATGATGCTCACCCTGGCCTCTGTGGTCAACAAAGTCATTCGGAGGCCAGGATTTTTTTTTTTTTTCATGTCTAATGATTATTAATGCAAAGCGTCATTTAGGAGGCGTCAACGGCATTGTTGTTGTCTTTCCAGCGTATCCATCTTGTTGATTGATCACGCCGCTCGTCTGACATCAGTTTTATGGCCTCTGAGATGCGTCTGAGTGTTTCCACAATGCCATCCAATTAGAGAGCTCCATTCATCATTTGTGCGACGGGATCATTATTAATTGGGCGAAGAGTTAGGCTGACAATCACCCGCCGAGATGGGCTGTGTCTTCTGGATGGGGCAGTTCATACCATGGAAACCCAACTTGGAGGATGGAATGGCTTTGCGCCTCCATGCCCTTTCATGGACAACCATTCAGCTACATTTTAAATCAGCCGCAAACCTCCAAACTCCAGCTGGCAGTATTACAATCAAAGTTCTGGCGTCATTTAGGCAAGACCAATCACAAATGCATCACCAATTTGTAAATTACCATACCGTAAGAGGCATCAAGATAGGCCTGCCTTGAGTGTCTCTCATTTTTCTTACCTTCATTTCCTGCAGCTAGACCGTCAGGTTTGGTGATGCCCGTGCTCTTTTTCCGTCTGTGTTTCTTGCGGTTGGCGTGCGGCGAGGGAGGCGGATCTAGCTTAGGACTCGTGGCGCTGCCCGCACTGCAACTGGCTGGGTCACTCGTTCCGTTGGCTGGGGGGGGGAAATTAATCAAGTGTTACTTTTTGCATAGAGTAGGGGTGTCTGACCCATTTTTTTTATTGAGACCATGTTCCACCAACGTGTAAATAATTGTCAACAGCAGGCAGCTCAAACTTTAGCAAAAGCCGGTGGAAATACCTTAAATAATGCATTGCGTGCCCCCGTGCCATACATCGGCTCACCTTTACAAGGAATAAACTCTTTCCAGTGTGTTTCGCAGTGTTTATTACAATAATGACATAATGTACCCTCTCGGGCCGATTGCTGGACTCCATTGCAACGATTTGTAGCTTTTCCAGGACTAGTAAAGGATACAAAAAGCACCACCCCACTGATAAGCTATTGTATCCCTCAAGCTGCTTCAGTAACACGACCTAACAACATGGACTGAGTTCATCATTGTCGCCAAGGAAACAATTGAGGACTTTCAAGGGTCAATAAAGCTCAGACAACATACTGAGTCACGTGTTGCTCAATGATGTGAATGTGTTAGCCTTCCTCAACTCATGTACGTGAGAAATGGGTGGAAAAGCAGACAGGAAACAGTTACTCTGGGAACTGTGTTGTTGCTTTCCGCAGAGTGACAGACAGGTATGGGGGTGGTGGGGGCATCAAAGGACAAATGGACACATAGGTTGGCCTCCGGCAAAACTATATGACTGTCTGAGAGTGACAGTGGGGGGAGGAGTAAAGAGGCAGCTTTGTTTCTTGTAAGTGATTTTATAAATGTGATATTAACCTGTGCTACCGTTGGGCAAAGGGAGAGAAGGATGGGACCATGCGAGGGGGTTGTCAGCTCGCCATCCGTCTGATTTCCTGATATTTGACATCACTTTCCCTTCTTCTTCCCCCTCCGGATGCCATTATGAATCTGGGAGAAGAGGGTGGTGGGGGTGCAGGGAGTGGGGGGTGGATACAGGGGCCTGAGGGAAGCAGGGAAGGAGGGAGGGCCGGTCGGTAGATGGGCCCCATATTGCTCTCCTCTTACCACCCTGTGTGGTGCTGGCAGCCTCCTCTATTGTCTCCCATCAAAAGCTCATTGTAGTGTGGCAAACTCCATTCATTTCCCTGAGCGCCGTCCCAGCCCCCGGGGGCCGAGTGCAGGAGGACAAGAAGGCTCCGGGATTATTGCTGTTGTCGTTGCCAGTTGCACATGCCGTAATGTGCAGCGCGGCGCCATTAGCCAGTGTACAACATTAGGCCTAATTCAGTCATTACCTTTAGGGAGATGGGGCTGTGTTGGAGGAGTGGGATGGGCTCAGCGGGGGATTGAAGATGCGAACGTCGAGGAAGGGGAGCGTGATAGTGATGGTGGGGGAAACTTGAGCTGAGGAGGCCCAACCGATGCTTTGTTTGGAAGTGGGCAAAAGTGTTGGAGGTGGAACCTGAGACCTGATCTAAGGTGAGCAAATTGGAATTTAGGAGCATTTGGCTGTAGTTTTTGTGCGGATGACAGCTCACCGTCACAATGGACCGTACGTGACATTAGGCAGTAATTTCAAATCAATTAGAAATAAATTACACAAAAAAACAAGGCAAGGGAATTATTAATCATGTTTCCTCTATTACAGTTGGCGCCGGCATACTTGCAGCTCAGCACCCGTGGATTCACTTATCCGCTGAATACTTTTTATTTTCAGCGTGCTTTTATGTTTTTGTTTTGTTTTTTCGGTTTCTTGAGAGCAAAATCCTGTTTTATGTGGAAAATGTAAATTGGAGGTTAAACTGTTTTTTTTTGTTTTTTTTTTACAAAAACAAAACAGAACAGAGCAACAAAAAGAAGTCCATTGCATTTCAATGATCGTCAATGACATGCAGATTTTTGCTATTCATGGTCCGGCATGTTACATATCCGCCGTGAATAGTCAGGTTGCACTGTATAGTTCCAAATTGTAAAATTACCGTTCACCACTACATGACAGACATGGCTTAGTTGCATGTGCACCAGGTCTTTTCCTGCCCTAATGTGACAAGGCCGAATTTTTGTGAATTTGGAAAGACATGCAAGATAAACATTTGGAGCGAGTGAGATTTGTCTGGAAAAAAAAAAAAAGTTGTTGCACTTCATTTTGGTGTGCTGTTGAGCAGTTTTATGCCATCTTTGAATGGTCATTTTAATGCGCGACAGCTGTTTGCACTGGAAAATAAATAAGTAAATAAATGACATCATAGTATGTGATTATTTTTTTTGAATGGTCAAACCATTGTTGTTGTTGATGTATTATGAAAAATGAAATATATTAACATATGATGTGAGATACATGGTTCACTAAAAAAAAAGACCACATCAAATCACATGTACTATTTGGAACCTCAAAACTTTGTCTATAAACCCAATACACTCAAATTACTTCTACCAAGCACAAAAAGCGCGAGCAAAGACAAAACATTACTCAACTGAGTTCTGTAACATGATTACGTCAACATTATTCTAAATAATTTAAAAATGATTTTTAACAATACTTCGTAGTGGTGTCGGGCATGGGCCAAAGATGCACGAATTACATTTTGGGGAGGATGCGGATAAATTTGCTGCGGGAAACTTAAAAAAATAAATAAAATGAAAAAAAAGAATCAACACAGAGATTAGAATTACAAAACTCTTCCAGTAAGTGGGTCATTCTCAAGCGAACTGTATCCCCTTTGATTGTCTCCACCACTCTTTCAGACGAAACAATTAGAAGTCAAATCTATAAAGGTTATCACAATGTTTCAGCCTGAGAAGCGATTAAAAAAGGGGACGTTGAATCACATGAATAAACATAGCTGCGCTGCTGGTGTTGTCTTGAATGGCAGCACGCAGCCACACATGTAGCACATCCTGGTCCAGGCGTCTGTTTCAATTTCCCTGCTCGCCTACAACAGCCCCCCTGAGACGAGTCATTAGCTGGCTCAGACAGCTGGGGGCACGGGGGTCCTCCGTATGCCTCCCCCCGCTCACCAACAACCTCCTACCCCCGGCTTCCTCCTCCCTCTCGATGCTAACGTCTGTCCTGCCAGCCCTGCACCGTATGGCGGGGCTGCGAGACGGGAACTGCAACCCGCCTCCGCCGTGACAGCCAGCATTTGTTTAATGTCGCTTGAGGTTAAAGGGGAGGGCTCGCCTCAAGGGGTGGTGCTCTTACAGAGCCGTGAACACCTCTAATTATCAATTTCTGCCCCTAATGTTGTGGAAAATGACCCCCGGGTTTGCTCATCCTCTACCTGAAACAAAGATGGAGAAAGGTCTCTCTCCCTGTGATTGAGCCTCGAACTCAAGGGTCGGCCAACCGATCGCCCTGGGCCACATCGGGCCCATGAGAGCAAGAGACTGCGCTTTTGATCAGCCACGCCCCCGCAAATGCAGACAGACCAATCGCAGCACAGCACAGAATCCTGACAGTTTGTTAAGATAACATGATCAGGAGTTTGGAGCCAATCACGGATCAGTGAGTTAAAAAAAAAAACAACAACAAAAAAATGATCGATCAGAAAATGTATCCAACCTATTTTAATGTTTGGATCAATTGAAAAAAAAACCTGACTGCATATGCTGAGGAACCTTGGATTATTAACTATGGAAGCACAGAACGTCCCTGGAGTGAACAAAATTGTGTTTGCTGTTATGTCTTATTGTGCAGATCCGGTTAATGATGTAATTGATTGGTCTGCAAATTATGGCATTACAACTGGAACCGATTTTGCATAAAATGCAAAATATTTGCCAATCTGATCTACAGTATATAAAGTTTAGTAAAGAGTTAAAAAAAAACACTGGATATTAAATCTTAAAAAAGCAAGAAGGTGTTGATTTTATCATATTGATTTACGATATTTGTTCTGGGCCCAGTCGGGCCGACGAGTCACGAGTAGCTCCAGGCCTCCGTTTATGTCGAACGCTGTGAAACTTTGCTCAAGACGTAGTAAAGCCTCAAGTACAGTAAATATTCGAACGAAAAACAATGAAATAAAAGCACGGCAGTGACAGGGCGTGTCTTCAGACAAAAAAACAATTTTTTTTGTCGTTAGCTCGGGCGGAAATCTTCCCCTTTGTAATTCAAGTCAGCAAAGTATCGGATACCATGATGATGATCCTGTGGTGTGGGGTGTGTTCAGAGAGAATTTCCCTCGCCAATATCCTTGCAAAGCAGTTGAGAGATGACAATTGTAACTGTTAAAGCTATTTCGTCTTCTACTACTTCTACTCCACTTTTCTGTCGGTCTGGATGCCGTGCGGCACCAGGCAGCCACGCACAGGTCACGTCAAAGTACGGTTTGGGGAAAGAAACTAACGATTGTCGATGCAAATAATTCTGTACGTGATGTGCTGTGTATCTTGAGTATGCCACCCGATTTCTCCCTATCATGTGGGATTATTTTCATTTAAAAAAAAACTAAAGATTTTAAAAATTCATGTGTGTACCTGATTTAAGGACCACCAATAACCAACAAGAACACTATATTTGCTCTCCATTTCTGACTTCTCAACAACTGCACGATCATATTGCAAATACCGAAGTGGAGAAAGTCATTTCATTGTTATTCAAGAAGCTGCGTGCGCCCAACGATGTGATTCCGCCAGGCCCCTTGACACGGCAGCCCTGCCTGTCCTCAATCAAACGGCTGCAATTAATGGCAAAAATTAGAAACAATCACCGCCTCCCCCTTATTATCCTCAATTAGAGTGTGCTAATCAAGGCCCGATCGCGCTCCGCTGCTCTCTCCGAGCTAAATGTCAAACTTCATTACGGCCCGCCGTCGAAATCAAACCCCCTGAACATGCCATCACCTTCACATCGGGAGGCCCGACACCAAAAACACGCTGCTGCAGGAAAAAAAAAAAAAAAAAAAAAGACTATGCATCAATTTCGTAACTTAATACTTCTATAGGCTAGAGGTACAATCGGGCAACAACTGGGCAGGAGGCACTCATTGATGAATGAATAGATTCCAAATGAATCTCAGTATTTTAGATTTCCACAAAAAAATTATGGGGGGGCAATTTGATTTTG